TTAGTGCTCGTGAGAACATCAGCCAACTGAGCGGGGGAACCTTGCCAATAAAAAGACCGAACATTTTATGCATAACCTATGTTTGTAAAATATATTGTACAGCAATTGGACAGTGGGCTAGCAATAATGTGCTCAATTTTCACTTCCAAGGCGTCAGTCGCCTATTGGCTGCAGAAATGTAATACCAAAAGACGTCTATATCAACATTCTCCAATTCAGGTGCGCAGAAGTCATTATTCATGGCTCTACATTGTTCCTCATTGACCTTAACATTTTTTTGAAGAAATATGAATCAAATAGCAGCTTGTGGATTATCATAATTTCTCAAGTGCGACAATTTTATAAGCTGAACAAAATTTTCTTGGGAAAATCAGGATCTGTGAACATCTCGTTTTTGCCTATGCGTTGCTCTCGACGGTCCTTTGACTTTTTTTTCTAGTCCAAGTCGTAAACCTGCAACCAAGATTCTTCGGCAGACACAACTGTAGTTTTTGCGTGCTATGATAATCCTTAACTGCTCAAATTAGCGACTCTGCTGGGCGATTATGAACCGAAGCGGGCGATGCGATGACAGCTGTCAAAAAGAGCAACTCCCTTTTTGTATACTCGTATATGTTTTTTAAGAATTTAATTATTAATTGATTATTTTTTTATATTTTTTATATGTAATAATATATTATTATATATAAAATATATTTCATTTAATTTGTCATTATTCAAAAACTGGAAATTAAAATACTCTATATAATACATACATATATGTATATATTTTTAGTTAAAAAGAAAAAAATCAGGAATTTAAAAATAAATCTTTAGCTAAAATATTTTAATTTTTCATACTTTACCGATCTTGCGGCGCCATTTATTGCTTCTAAATCCCATTCATCTACAATCGGACCATATACTATATAAATTAAATAAAATATACATATATACGAATATTCTTTGGGCGATTCATTTAGACGATTTTTTCTAATTTTATGAACTTCTAAACGAAATTCCGGGTATACCAATTTTGATAATTTATGTATATATGTTTATCACACAAAAATCCTTTTCTTCCAAGTAAGTTCAATTACAAACATACGCACACCCACACAAATATATTTGCTTTCAGCAGATTTTAATATTAATTCATTAGTAGCGCTCCCAACAAGAGCAAATATGCATCTCAAACAATTAAGAAAACCACCTGATGAGTTGCTTATATGCATGTGTATGTACATATGTATATATATTTGTATGTATTTACACAAGTAAATGACGAAAAGAATTATATTTAGCGGATAACAAAAAGGAAAAACCGCACACTGACCGCAGAAAAGTGCATTAATATCCACAGCAAATGTAGATTCCCGATATAATTACATACATAAGTATGTATGTAAGCGTCAAAATGAAAAAATATAAATAAATACATCGCCTGCAAACTTCACGTATTTAAATAAAAAAATAAAATGAAAAAACTAATACTCAATAATTCATTACAAACAAACAAATATATTTACAATACGTTCTCTTATTTACTAATTATTATTATTATTATTATTTTTGTTTAATTATTCTGCCAAGTCATTGGAGGTATGTATTAATAAAGGTATCCAAAAAGTGTCTATTATACATATGTATATGTATGTGCCTTGTGAGCAACGGTAATTGCAATTACACACGTGATACATATTGTACATATATACGTACTACTAATGTCTCATCTTAGTTACTATAAACTGTCGTAGAATGAATGACAAAGCTTGTTCTTCTACTTCAATGCTAATCGCCGCTGCCTAAGGCCGGCAGTCAAGGCAAAACGAGCGCTCAAAAGAAGCTTATCAAGTCAACATTCAACTGAAACCTGTACTCAGCAGCTAAACTAGTATGCAGAAGTTATTGTAATCAACTAGTATTCAAAAGATAAAATTATACCAGTTCGTTGGTTGTTCGAAACTAGTGCAATAACTGTGCCACACGACTCTTTGTCGCTTTTCATATATTCACCACTGGCGTGTCTTGCAATTTATCGCCGTAGACTTACCAATTCAGCCTGCTTAAGTGGACTAGCATTTTACTAGTATCATGCTGATGCATAGCAGGATAATTGATATTTTGTCTTACACCGTCGTCGTAAGAATTACTAAAACCGAAAGAATATGGGCAATGAATCAGTTTGCCTTTCCTAAACCGTACATTTTGACAATGTAAAAAATACGTACATATGTATCGTTCTTTTACAATGGGAGTATATGCCTTGGCTTATCTATGCTTGTGTGTTTGTTGGGCTTAGCAAAGCACGAGCCTCTTGCAACACATTCGATTTGTGTCGAACATGTTCGGCCGCTTGTTGGTAAACTTTTACCAACGAACTAAACTTTTCATTACTTAAATACGTGTACATATGTATATGTATATATGCATGTAGGTTTGAAGTGCAGCTTTCTAGCAAGATTCTACAATAATACGTTGTTTAACCCTTTAAGTGCCGATTAATTTTTAAGCTCGACATAGCAAAAAATAAATAAATGTAAAAGGAGTAAGTAAAAAATAGTAAATACAGGCGAAACCGAACACTGAATTAAGTCAACAGCGCGGTCAAAAATATATGAGCTGTTATATAGAAGGTAGTTCACTCGAATATCGAAAAATTATTTGACAAATTTAACTTTAACATCGCCTCAAAAGGCAACCAGACTTTCTAAGCCACTCATGCATACGTTAGTTTTGTTTCTTCCAGAGTGGAGCGAGGAAGCGAAGTGCAGCAAAATAATTTCATGTATCTTGGAACCTGGAGATCCAACGCAAATAATTTTCACTAATAGGTGCAACTTTGAACCAACTATATATTAATATATTATATAAAAAGTGTATCCTCTCTAGCTGCTGAAGTGTTTGTTTTCTTCCAATTTGGGGTGGGCGTATTAATGATTTTCTAACAATTGGAGGCGCTGTTTATTCTAAGCCGTTTCCGAAGAAGTGACTGAGTTTTTATGAGTGGCTTTAACTTCAACCTCGCATATATACTCGGAGAGTTTGACACACCCTGCCGAAGTCAATCGCCATTAGAAAAAAAATTTATTTCTTTATTTTTGTGTGCAGGTTGATCTGCAATTCGAATCCTGGCCTACCGAATGGTAGTACCTACTGCCAATTACTCGGCTATTGTGACTATTTTACTGAGCAGTGATTTCAAAGTTCATTCTGTAGATATTGATTACAATTAGCTCTCTAATTTTTTTCCACGTGTAAAGTCCTTAAGGGGTAAAACCACTCTACGATTTTGGTAAACGCAATTTTTTTTGCTCACAGATTACCTTTGCGTCCTAGAAATGATATGTAATTGGTTTTAAAGTAAAAAAATATTTCAAATAGTTGAACTTTTTTTTCTGCATCCCAACAGAGCGTGCGCTGAGTACAATGAAAACTTTAAAAGCGTTATTCACAAAATCACATTTTTCTAACTGGAAGGATAGTTTATTCGGATCCTATTGCATCGAGACAGCGTGGAGGGTAGAAAAACCGAACTGTAACTTGCTTTGATTAAAGGGGAAATTTTTGGCATTCTTACGGGTTTTTTAACGATGCATTTACCTCTGAGCTTCATAAACTCGGTAAACTAAAATCGGCTGTGTGCAGAGCATGCACAGAGGATGACGAAATTCTGCGTATGGCCGACCTTCAGCCAGTTGAGATGTCAAATCTTCCACGATTTCCCAGCTCTGACCGCACGGAGTTGGGCCCGCATAATTGAAACTTCTAACTTAAAATCGCAAGTGCTTAGTTAGAATTCAACTGGGAGCACAATGAGCCTGCTCTATGGATTAGGTGCAGTTGCTTACATTCAGGTTCTCAACAAGCCTTCAACCAAAAAGCCTACCAGCCATAGTAGAATATTGCAAACGGAAAAAATTAAACATTTTTTGACGGGATAAAAAAAATTAAAAATAATAAAAAAAACCGCATTTTTTCCTACTCTTTAAAATTTTTAATAGCCTAAAGTTAAGTGAAGAATTTAAATTAAATACATTTTAATGGTGATAAATTTTTGGCCTCTATCCACAAGCGACAACAATTTTTTGGTATAATTTTTCTATGGCATTTCCACGACAGCCTAATTACGTGTTTCGCTCTCTCAATTACGAATGCGAATTACCCCCATTCACTTGCTTCGCTTGCTTGTACCATTTGAAACCCTATGGAAAAGGAAAAATTTTAGTATAAGTTAACGACATCTTGAATTGAATTGTTTCTTTAATAATTTCAAACTTTTTTTTCTTCTTTTGGAGTGCGAATTACGATTGAGAGAGCGAAACATGTTATTGGTCTGTCGTGGAAACGCCGTATTAGTTATTATAGCTAAAGCGAAAATTTTTCATATAAATAACCAAAATTATTTTTAAATTCTTTTTCACTTGCCTGAAAGTCTTCAAAAAAAAATTTTTAATAAAAAAAAATTCCTTATAACCACACTATGGCTCTTTGATTTACTAAATTTCCACGCACTGAGTCAAATTGTCACATTTGCACTCAAAGGGTTAACGCATAACCTGCACCGGCATCATGAACTCTAAACTGCCACGCGGACCGGCTACAAACCAGCAATACATGTTGTCTAATTAACACACAAAAAAAAGAGAAAATGAGAACACTGACATTGGAGCGGCTCAAACACACCACCACCACTACCAACAGCGGCAACACAATGTGCTTTCGCATTTACCTCTTTTGCTTTTTTGGGGGATTGGGCAAGCTCATAGGCACATACATACAAACTTATGCATATACTTACATCAATGCTCGAAACATAAGCTTTTTTCAACGCGCATACAAGAACAATACTCATACCCTACATCCATTGATATTGGCCTCAACTACACAACAATGTACATACATATGTATGTATGTATGTATATACCCTCAGTTCTGTTACTTGTGAGATGCCGCGTCGCGCTGGTAGTTATGCTGTGAGTTTACGTTTAGCTTGAGCAGCAGCAGCAGCTCGTCGCAACAACAGTCGCTCGCATTCGCTGCACACGTTCAGTTGTTTCAAAACGGTCGGCTGCCGGTGGTTATTCGACGGTTTGAAGTGCTCGTACACACGCGTGTGCTCATGTGTGTGATTGAAACTCACACAGTAAATATACAAATGAGTTCTTTCTAAAAAGTTTCGCGCTAAATTTTAGCGATAAAAAAATATAAAATAAAAGTAAATAAAAGACTAAAAGAGACGAAAAAATACTCAACTAGTGTTAAAAAAAAGGTGAATTCAAAAAAAAAATTTGGCAGTGATTTATTTCGTTAAGTACAGTCCTTCCTTGCAAGTTTCATATCCTCATTCCTTTCATCTTCCTGATTTGTGGTGCGAAATTTTCTGAAAAGACGTCTGCTAGTCTCAAGAGCAGCTGCAGTCAGTGGAAGTATTCAAAAAAAAAGGTATCATGAATTGAAAGTGGTAAAAAAATTAATTTTGTGAATTATTTGAATGAAATCCTATTTAAGGTTGTTGTGTGAGTTTTGAGCTATTGTAATCTAGTCTTTTAATTTTTGTCGATAAATAATTCCAATAGATTTTTGTGGCAATATGTGAAAATACTATTTGAACAGAATATTTCACTCTTTTTTCATGATGGCGGGAGTGCTGCTGCTCAAATTTTAATCTCTACGACAATAGTCTATGTTATAAAACTGAAACTTAGAAAAAAGTCCTTGAAATAAATTCAAATTTAAAACATATAAAATCGAATTTATTGTATTCTTTTTCTCCACCTATGTAAACGCTGCTTAAACAATGATATCCGATCTAACAACAGCAGATCAGTTATTTCCTATATCTCTTGGTTTGCTAAACTACATCTGCTTCTTTCCACATCGAGAAAAATATACAAAGACGGCTCCTCCTCATAATTCTATAAAAAGTTCTGACATTAACAGTATTCAACAGCAATTGTTTGAAAGTCGCTCAGAAGGCTCTCCAACGATCCACTCCGATCTGTGCTAAATTTTCCCAACTCACATAGCCAAACGCATCCCAACCATATCCCGATGCGTTGATAAAATCTATGTCACGGAATCAAAAAGTTACTCCTATCTAAGTAATAAGATGCATCTTTCCTTCTACCCGCTCACCGAAATGGAATCATACTTAAGATCAGTTTGAGCGCTCAACAAGGCTTAGTAAGGGGGGATTTTTCGTATTTCTCTAAGAGTGTATCATCTGATTCTCGATCATTTAAAAATATTACTAAGCATACAGGAATCGATAGACTTTATGATGCTTACCACCTGACCTCTTGCTTCCTTCTTTAAAGTATTAGAGCTCGGACTTTGCGTTAAGGTTGCTAGCATACCAACATTATAGAAATTACGCTTAAGAAATTTACACGTTTAGAAGTATCTGAGGCCATTTCTTAACTAACTATGAAAATCCTAAAACTTTTTCAACACAACAACTACAAAAGTACAAAAGGAGACTCATAAATGAAAGTAAAATGTTAACATTTTTGAATATTTTTTCATTGAATACTCATTTTCAGCGTAAAAATAATTTTTTTTAATTTAGAATCTATTATTTTGAAACACTGTCATGCTGGAAATGGGCGTGTTTTCTAAAAAAAAAAAAAAAAAAAAAAAAAAAAAAAAAAAAAAAAAAAAACCAACATTAAAATATTTTAAATAAGTCTGTTCCGTAATCTGGTCCAACAGGGCGGCTCGCCATGCTAAACTAGAACTAAAATTTCTTAAATTGCACATATTTTCTAATTTCTAATTAACACACCCCACGGTTGATATTAACATGCCACTGACAAACCGGCTTTTGTTTTTGCTTGGCTAAAATCACAACAATATTAATCAGAATAAATTGCTAAGTATTTGTTTTCGTTAGATAAACACACTGACTACCCACCTGAGCACATATGCTAATTTTAGAAAAATTTATTTATTTATTTAATTTTTTCTGAGCAGCTTTCGTTTAAGTTTAAAAAATCATGTGTACTTGACTTGATTGCCTGCGTATGTTACCATATGTCCTAATGGTATCAAACGATTAGTTATTGTAGGCTTAACGTGTGACACCTTCTCTCCACCTATCTCTTACAGATTGAATATTAATATTCATTGGATATACCCGTATGTATATATGTTTATATATTCACATTTTCATAAGTGATATTTGAATTTTTAATTTTTTTGAGCAAAAGGCTATTTTAATAAATGCATTTAAAATAATATATACGTATATCATACTCATATGTATATATCTATGTATATATATATATATATATATATATATATATATATATTATTTATATATATATATATACAATATATATATAAATAATATAAGATAAAATTTGATTATATTAAAAAATACAAACAAAATATAATTAAATTGAATTAAAATATTGACAAATAAATAAAATTAATTAAAATAAAAAGAATAAACTAATATAATTTAACACAACAAAATATCTATAATAAAAATAAAGTATAATAAAGTAGAATAAACTAAAATTTAAATAATAGAAAAAATAAAAAAATATAGTAAACCAAGCTAGAATAAAATGAGATAAATGAAAAAAATTAAAAAAACAAATAAAATAAAATAATAATAATTAATATTAATAAAAACAAAATAAAATATAACAAACTCAAGTTAAATTAAAACAAAATCAGTTAAAATAAAAGTGATAAAATAAAAAAAACTACAATAAAAAATGAAAATCAAAAAAATGGAATAAGATAAAATGAAACAAAATAGTGTAAAATAAAATGAAATGAAAAAAATTTAAATAATAAATTAAAATCAAAAAATGACTTAAATTTGAATAATAAAAAATAAAAATAAAGTATTTTTTATTTTAGTCTATTCTTCCAATTTTAGTTTATTTTATTTTACTAACTAAAATAAAATAATATAAAATAAATCCATACAATTAAAAATATTAAATAGAGTAAAATAAAATAAAATAAAGCAAATTAAGGTATAATGAGTAAAATAAAATAACATAAAATGAGATTAATTAATTTAAATTAAAATAAATCAAAAAAAAATAAAATCAGATAAATATAAATTAAATTAAATTAAATTAAATTAAATGAAATGAAATAAATGATATAAAGTAAAAATAAATTAAAATAAAATATGATGAAAATAACGCAAAAAATGTAATAATAAAATAAATTAAAATGAAATAAACAATACAAAATAAAATTAATTAAAAAATAAATTAATATAAAAAATAAAGCTAAAAAATAAAACATAGAATGAAATGAAATAAAATAAAACAAAATTTTGTCGAATAAAATATAGTAGAGTATAATAAAATAAAACAATACAAAAAACTAGGATCAAAAGTAAGTTGAAAAAATTAATACAAAAAAATAGAAACTTAAATAAAATAAAAATACATTAATTGAAACAAAATTAATATTAAAATAAACTAAATTCTACTAACTTAAATAGCTTAAAATTTATTAAATTTAAATTTACTTTACTTAAGTAATAATGTTACATCGAGAGCAAGCCGGCAAACAATTTATGTCTGAAATCTAAAAAAAAATTTATAATTGTTGCCTCTTATTACCAAAAAAAAAGTATTCAGAAGGAAAAAACTTTGTCTCTTTTAGATCTAATTGCTGATATAAAGTACATTAAAAAATTTGTGTCATCGCAGCTTCTCTTATCTCTATTATCTACGACTTTTTTATTTGTTTGCTGTTATTTTCCACAATTTTTATGCTATAAATTTTGCTATAATCGCTGTGTTTTAATCTAGCTACTGTTAGATATTGAATATGTATCAAGTGTCGCTAAAGTTAAATTTAATAATGAGGAAATGAAGTAGTTGTGGCTGTACCGTTAAATATAAAGCAATTTATTTGGCTGAAATGTCTTATATATTTATAATAGGTTTTTTATTCTGATTTGGATTTCGTCTATATAGAAATTCAAGCTATTGAACTCTGATTATTCCTTAAAAAGAGTTCAGATAGATACTTATTTTCCTATTTGAGATAAAATAAATGATATCATACCGCTGAAGAAGTAAGTAAATATTCCAAGTAAATATATACAAATTTTATATTGTATGAAAAATACATATATTTATCATTCATAATTTATATTCTTAGTTAAAATGTAACAATTTTCCTAGAATACAATGTAAGTGTTAAATCAGAATTATTAATTTCAAACTTTTTTTCCATTTAATCTCAGTCCATTATCGAATTAATTATGATTCGATTACCATTTACTACGACACCTTCACATGTTATCACGTTTGTTCTGAATCATTGTGTTTGAGTCGGTAAATTCCTGCAGACGTAATAATTGTGATAAGAGGATTTTATGACTGGGAACTCTGCAGGAACGCAACATACATACCTACGTACTGAAGTTTCATTTAATTAATATTTTCTTAGAAAGTAATTGTATCAAAGCGTGGAAACATTTACTTTTTGTATTTTTTTTCTAAGAAATTTAGAAATTTCATGCGAATAGAAAATTAGAAGAGAATTTAAAACATTAAGAAGAATCTTGCCGTGTATGGAACATCGTATGTTCCCTTCAAACGAATATCATAATTTTTTTTATAAATATTGAAGTAATATAATTATACTGAAATTAATAACAAAAAGTAATTTTCTTTGAAAGAAACTATTTTTTTATTAACTCCCAAATAATTTGTTATTTCTTAGAAATACATAATTATATTAAATTGAAATTAGTGGTTTGCCCAATTCCGTTACAGAAATTTAATGTCGAAAATGGACTTCGTTCTGGTCGGCCAGGCTCTCAAAAAGCCGTTAAAGCTCTGTAACTGTTGGAGGTAGGCCAGCAAATAGGCTGTCAGAGAAAAACCGAGGCACTAGTGGTAGTTTGGTTTCATTCAGAAAAGGCTAGTTAATCAAAAATTAAATAGTTTCAAAACCATAATTGACGGGAGGCAGAATGATTCCGCGCGTATTGTAGGATTAGAAAGGAATAGTCCATTATGAGCATAAGTGTCATACTATCCTGCTTTTCGTTTGCCTCTATGTGTTTTAGTGCTGCTTCTACTATTCCACTTATGACGGTTATCCATATATTATTCATCTACGGACCACTGCTCAATCGTTACAAAATCGGCCCGATTCTGAAGTAGATAATGACAGGTGGTGAGAAGTAGATATCTGATAGTAGCTTCTAATGAAAGCGGTCTTGGTCGAAAGGCAGTGAGCCGACATCACAGCCTCCAAGTCAAGTCCAGGAGGTTTTTTTAAGAGTTTGATGGGGTTAGCAAGAAATCATCCGCTATTAACTGCTCCCGCATAGCCAAACTAATAATGTTGCTCGTCAAGAGGACCATCTGAAGGAAGCAATCGCCCAACAAGAAGTGATGTTTGTGTCATCAGGAGCACACATCAGGCCAGTGAGCCGCCAGCAGCTTCAA